GAAAAATCTTTTCGTTCCAAATTCTACTCGCCATATCCGCAGGATACGAAGCTATCTTGCTAAGCAGATGTGAGTTTCGAAATCAGCAGGTCGCATAACCTCTACGAGCAAGTTTTCCGATATGTTCGGGTTATTCCATTTTTTCTCGTTTTATGCTCCGGAAGCTCGCCGATGGATTTTGGTCAAAATGTTGATGCTCTTGAATTGTAGGGAAACTTCGCTCATAGAGGTTTTCGAACACGCTCTTTACGAAAATCGTGGTCTTTGAGGGTTACAGGGTCTTTTTGGAGAGATACGGTGAGGTGATGTAACTGCATCACGAAAATGCGTAACTTTGGCCGCACTTCTCGCGTATCTGTCAGGAACCTTGCCTGCTTGCTTTTCTCATTCAAAATTACTAGGAATTGTGCTATCGAATGGTGCATTACTCAGGCTCCAGTCTGTGAAATTCGCCGAGTTACAAGCCTACGAAAACACGTTCTCAAGAATTTTGTCCAAAATGTAAAGATCGCATATCTCGTCGAAATACCTCCGTGAGCGCTTGTGCAACGCGCTGATCAAATCTTTTCACATTTTTATTCATTTATTTATTTATTCTATACGCTCTTGGCGTTCCATACAATAGAATAGAAAGCATTCATTTATACTCTAACCGCAACGATAGTGCATCATTAGTTTAGGTCTAATCTTGATAAAAATGTGATGAAAGCTTGTATTTAGGTTATGCGACCCGCTGATTTCGAAACTCACATCTGCTTAGCAAGATAGCTTCGTATCCTGCGGATATGGCGAGTAGAATTTGGGACGACAAGATTTTTCCATAATTCACTCGCCGTTCTACTTCCTTTGAAAAGAAACCTGCGGCTACTATTTAGCACATTATAATCTACAGAAAAAGTGCTATCGAAATATCCTTGCTGGAATGTACTCGGGACAATGCTCGTTGCTTTACACCTTCGCGAAAAGATGTCCTCAGAAAGATTCAAGAAACTGAAATCGAAATATCAAGGACATGCTGTATATGAGAAGATTCGCCTTGATGAGCTGAGCAAGGCGCTGTTTTCGGATTTAAAAAATACTTGTTCCGAAGGAAGTTGTGGCGAGTAGAATTTGAAAACGCTTACTTTTTCCAAAATTCACCAACGCTTCCATCTCCTTTGGAAAGAAGTCTGAACCTACTTTTTAGCGCACAATAATCTACAAGAACAGTATTATCGAACAGTACTTAGTAAAGTCTTCTATGTTGGGTAGGCGTTGCTTCACATATTCGCGAAAGGACCTCCGCAGAACAAATTGAAAAAACTGAAAACGGAATATCGAAGACACCGTACCCCCACTTCCAATATATCAGAAGATTCTCCGCGCCGAGCTGAATCGAATAGTGGCTTTTGATTCAGAATTCGTCCACTCTGAAGCGAGATATGGCCACGCGACGCTGATGTATGGACATGTCCATACATGTCCATACATTCGCGTCCATTTTTCAAAAAATGTGAGCGGTATTGTACCTGGAGCGATTTCGCTGGGTTGTGGTCGCCAGCAATTCGGCAATTCGCCAGTCGCCCTTAAGTTTACCTTTTCGATTGCTTAGGCGCATAGCTTTTCTAAGCTGATGCAAGCATCCCAAGTCTTGCTTTCACAAAGTGGATTTATGAAGAATCATAAGCAGACGTAGAATATCAATTTGCGCGAGATGCGATGCCTCACATGTACTTTCATAGATTTTCTGCACTTTGTCATTAGATGTGTTGACAAATCTTGCAACCAGCTGCAAAGTTTTATTTGCTAAATGTCTGCTGTCACATTAGCATTTGGAAACGCATTTTCTCTTCTTCTAGAAATCACGAGTTCCTCTAAGATTTTAGTCAAAGACTGGTAAAGTGTAAAGACGTCATAAAGGTCAACTTATCGGGATAATTGTCATCACCTCCCTGGTGACCACAATCTACCAACTTTATGACTATCTGTTGATGAATCATTTTTGAGGTCACCTTTATAAATAACGTTTTTCCAGGTATTACACAAAGAGAACAAGTGTAAATAAGGTAATGATAAATGATAAAGTAAAATGTCGGTGTTTCGCGCACGGCTTCTTTTGTCAATCAATCAACTTGTGTATGTATGATGGCAGATCATCATAACCAAAAAATCTTCTTTTGACAAAATCAAAAATTCTTTCATCAATCCGGAAGAAATAAATTCAATATTCACAATATCTATGTAAAGGAATTCTGGAGATTTAGTCGAAATCTCCGACTTATCTTCAAATTAATGAAGCCTCCCTACAAGAAGTATGTGAAGAAAAACGGTGCAAAGTTGGACATTCGTCGAATAGCCAAAAACTCCTGTCGTAATAAAAGAAAGTGAAATTGTGAGCATTCGTCAAATTGCTGTAAAAAGCTCTCGAAGTCATCAAGATGATGACAAGCTAGCACAAATTTGTCTTCATAAACCTCAACTTGTCTCTGTGCTCTCGAATTTCTGGAATGATGAAGAATACCCATAAGAATTGCTTGTCAACCTAATGGTGATGTCAAAACGCCTCTTACGATTTCGAGTAGGCAGTAATTATAGATGAGTAATTACTCTCTCCGAAAACATGCACTCCTCAATTACATCATCCATAATCTAGTGGTTCGAATGAGTATCAGCGAATTACTTATGAGAGTGAGATCTTTGTATTCGGAAGGTATAATAAGAGTAGACCAAAGTTACACAGAAATTACTGAGGTCAAAAGATTAGTGTTGGTAAGACAAAGATCACCTTGGCTCGAAAGTATGAAAGCGCGCTAAAAATAAAAACGAATCGTTATTGACCTCCTCGATAGTCCTGCCTTCACCGTTTGATTTCGTGAATAAGTTAGCACATTTCACATACTACCACTGCCAACTTCTGATTATCTTCAATTTTTAAATCCAGTAGTGAAATCGAGTTTTGGTATATGGTGTGTGAGAGCCTCGATGGGTCCATCAAATATGCTTAGCCTTAGACTTTTTTATTCTGTTTCTAAAGTATGGCTAACTGCTTACATGTGCTCTTAGACAACTGTCTATATTCATAAAAGTCACGTATTTTTGCTAGATGAGCCAAACTAATGCTTGCAAAGTACTCTATCTATGAGGCCGCTTTGCCCATCTGACAATTTTTATGGACTCATCTTGATCAGAGCTTTTTCTCTCAAGTCCAAAATTTGCTCTCGTTAGTACAGCGTCTAAGAAAAAGTATTGCACCGTAGGATTGCGCTCTGCCTGATTGTTGAGATCTATCTTGCTTTACTGTTCTTCGTGGATCCAGACACTGTATTGAAGTCTGGCTTTAACTCAGAATAACAACAACGTACGATTGCGGTAGGTTTCGGCAGATTTATTGCACGCAGCTATCATTGCAAAAAATTTACACAGCACTCAAAACTTTGTGAATGCTTCAAATTTGCTGATTTCATCGACTCTGTAAGGTTCTGCAGCAGTAGGTAGAATGTAATCAGATCTTTGGCTATTATTTAGGCGCTACCACGGCGTACTTGCATAACTTTCAGACCAGAATTTGCCTTTGATTAAAATGTTCATATTCAGATAATACGTCCTAATTTACACAGAAGAAGATTTTTTAGTTTTTGGAGCCTTATTGAAGCAGAATTTGGCTGTTTTTGGTACAAACTCCTTCTTGAGAGTTTCCACCGTAATTTTACATTAGTGAACGATTAATGCCTGTCGTTTTTGCTGTAGATCCTAAGTTGACAGCTCTGCAACAAAGTACCGAAAGCTTTGGGAAAGATCTCGAGATTGAAGAGCTATCAGCAGTAAATGCGGTGCACATTTCATGAGACACCCTTGTTATAACACTTTCGGACTTCTTGCAGATCTTTGGCCAAGTTGCTTTTGAAGTACATATTGGCTCGCTACATATGTGAAAGTGCCATCGCAGTGGCTAGAGCAAAATCTTTGACAAGCGATTAAGCGTCAAAACTGTTAATAAACTCTTCACCTTCAGTTAGGAAGTTATTCTGCTTAATCGTAGAATTGGGCTTAGAACCTTCTCAAGGCTGTGGTATGGCACATTTTAAAAACAACTATCCGTGATTATGAGCCCATCAAATTTTGTCATTGTAAACATTTCTCTTGTGAAAATGAGTACATGGAAGTGAATTATACTGACAGTGTGATATAATACATATGGTCTTGTTAATTGTAACATACATAAGAAAGTGGGCCGAAAAAAATGTGTGACAATCCACTGCATAAACTTTCTTTCCAAAAAACTTCATCTTTTGTCTTGCAAAAGAAATGTAGAAAGGGTATAAATGATAAATCAAACAATCATTTAGGCTCTTCATGTCATATGTAATGACTCTAGCTTTTGATCTTGTAATCGGGAGGTGCCTTAGGCTTTGACTGCCTCAAAAATCTCATTGTTCCACATGGAGTTCCATAATACTTCTAGAAATACAGGAGACGAATTTGCAATTAAAGATTTCAAACCCTTTTTATATCATAGTAGTCGACGTATTCGATTTTGAGCTTTCATTGCTAGAGAGTGAATAATTCAATAACGATTTGGTTTGGATTTCATCAAACCGAGCCTTTGTGTAGATTGTAATGTAATTGTTCTTTTTCGTCCACAGCCAATTATATGCGAAGGTAAGAACTCCACTGGTATTTTGATTGCTAGCCCTCCACATCGGTGTTGATGATTCGCAGGAGCCAGCGAGATTATTCATACGGGAATGCATGTAACTTTTTTTGAAGATGACGTAACTACATCCGTCAAAAAGTATGACCCAGATTACTTATTGCTCTTGATGTTTACACCGTACTCCTCCAATAGGGTGAGATATGATGTAATTTAGGCGAAAAAGTGGCAGCGGGAGGTTCAAGCTATGGCAGACAGGGCGTGGCTTGCTGAGCTACGCCGTATAAAGCCGATCGCTGCTTGGAAAATTCATTCTGTTACCTCGTACTCACTGAGTAACGAGCCTCTAGTCGCGAAACCGTGACTGATCATGCCAAACTTTTTGAAGGTACGTGGATACACAACTACCCTGAATTCGGAGACTACGAGTACTTTTTCAGCACCTCAAGCTCGATGAGGCTGAACTGCCATCATGCGACCGAACACCACCACGGACGCCGAAAACTCCTTGCACACCTATGGAGTTACAGAACCACACTTTTTGCTTTAGAAAAGGTAAAGCTAATTTGTTGTGTCACCTGAGGGTTTTTTTTTTTACTAAAATCGGCTATTAAGGACCGGATACTCCAGTAATTTACCAGCCGGAGGGTCATCCACGTCAGGCAGTCATTGATGGCGATATCTGGCCACCAATCTTCAAGCCTCAACATGTGCGGTAAGCAATCTGTTCTCTAGCCATTGTCTGAGACGCAAGAGATGGAAGTACAGTCTAGCACATCTTCCGCTCAACATAGGCGCTTGCGGTGCCGAGATTTGCGGTAATATTTGCGCGTGAAGAAATAGTGCCAGTAATGCGGGCCACCTGCGCGCGAAGAATATTGGCGTGGCTATTTTCTCGCGGGCAAATTCTGCTGCAAAATCTGGCAAAGCAAGCACACCGTATCAAGCACACCGTCTACTAAACCCAAAACCTTAATGAAAAAGCCATAACAATCTCTTGTTTGAGTTTTGCCTTGATTCTATTTTTACACTCTAGAGACTCTTTGATGATAGCAGTGATATCATGATGGCTACGGCTACCCCATTCAACAAATACTTTGACATAAATTCTCTGAAAATAATGCTAATTGCTATAGCTGATATGGGAAACATGCAATCATACTCGCCACGACGGCAGATTGGCACCTACAACTTCGTAATATATGAGTAGCACCCATGATTTCATGCTACTCAATTAGTCTACGGATAGGCTAAATATGGAGAGATAGCATACAATTTGGTGCAGAGTTGCGCGGTTATCAACAAATTCGCCTCAGTTGAACCGCTTGATCCCACCTATCTCGTCACTTGCTGAGACATGGACGCTTACGAAGACGAAGAATCGTTTAGATCTGCTAAAAACATGATCGTAGAGGACGACGATGTGTTCATAGCCACCTATCCAAAGTGTGGCACCACTTGGTTGCAGCACATTTGTCATCAGTTGATTCGTGGCGAGAACTATCAAGCCACTGAAGGAAACGGTACGTTATGGGATCTCGAATGGATTATCAAAATAATGACCCGTTTTTAGAGATGTGCGTACAAAGCCCTATGATAGAACGCATGGGCGCAAAGTTTCTATCCAACGTTGAACGCCCCCGCATTCTCAAAACGCACTTCTCGGCTCTAAATGTTCCCAAGAACAAAAACGCAAAATACATCTTTTGCGTTAGAAACCCGAAGGATTGCTGCACAAGGTTTGTCTCCGAACTTCTATGTCTCAGAAGTCAAAATCATGTCTTTCCAGCTATTTCCACCACAATCGCAACTTCAAAATCTACAACTTTGCTGACGGCGAATGGGAAACCTTTGTGGATCTGTTCATTTCGGGACAGCTCGCATTCGGCGATTACTTTGACCACCTCCTCGGGTGGTTGCCGTTGCTTGAGCAACCCAATGTGCTCTTTTTGATGTACGAAGATATGCTAAAGGATCTTGAGGGAACCATTTACAAGGTGATTTGATGTACTGGAAGCACATTGTTAAAAGTTGGAGAATAGTTGACTATTGTTCAAAAATCCCTTTTTTTTAAAGCGAATGATATTTGTCCAGATCGGAATGTTCCTTGGCGGCGACGCAGAAAAACTCGTGCAGGACCCAGCACGCTTGGAAACCGTCGTACAAAATAGCGGCATTGAAGCCATGAAGAAAGACCAAAAACGCTGGTTCCCTGAAGCTGTATTGTGAGTTTTACGAATATCCGTGAATCAGGAAACGTACTGAAAGAAAGGGCATCGAGATCACACGTCAGCTTTGAAGTTAACTCCAAATTAACTTCACTGTAAGAAAAGTCCACTGCTTATTTTATTGATCAAGGTGCATTTTCTCGAATAGATGAAAGAAGTCACAAAGAAGATTAGACCATTCACTATGAGTAAGCGGAAACATAATCATGTGCACATAATCGCCATTGGTGGCTGTACTACTAGAACTTCGTTCTTGGATATCTTGTGACCAACGAATCAGTCATAGTTGATTAAGGTACCAGTTGCAAATGGCGCTTACTTGTCGTTGCTAATTAGCGGTTTCTTTTCCAGCTGGTCAGATTTACTCGTAGTGTATAAACTAGTTTAGATACACACTGTAGCGTAGCACAACCGTACGTATAAACTAGGAAACGCTCTTCCTTTGAGCCTCAGTTTTGAGGGGTCGTTGGTCTCAATATTCTTTGAAGCCAGAAATAGTAGCAAAAAACTTGCAAAGCCTTGGCTGTGATACTGAATGTTCCATGAGTGGGATAATGGAAATCGTTCTCTCATTTCAAAAATAAATTTGAAATACAGTTGCAGGCATAAAGCCGAATTTATCCGTAAAGGAGGCAGTCGTGACTGGAAAAATCACTTTACCAAGGAACAGAGCGATCGTATGGATGTTGTATTCCGTACTCGTCTTGCGGGAACCATTGCGGAAGGGTTTGTATTATCCTAGATTTAGTTGGTGCCTAAAAAAGTAACAGTTCCGTTCTAGATGGTGGCAAGAAGAGATGGCATGGGACGTCTTGCCCACCACAGCTCTATCCCATCTTGATCTCGAGGACGAGATCGAATCCGTCTCAAGAAGGGGCTCATTTAGCCTGGATCCTCTAAAGGTGACACATCTTTTCTCCACTGCTATCTTTGCAGAGTACATCAATCTACTTCAGGACATCCGTGGTCACTTCACTGACCGTCGTTCGTCGTATGCCTCACTGCTTTCTACGGGATACGGATCGGCCTGGTCTCTGACCAACTCGCATTCTTAACTTTAAGAAGGAAGATCTCATGTCACAGCGCATCTACCAACTCTAGTCAAAACTTTGTCACGTTCTCAGTCAGCAGATCTGGACAGACAACAGTCGCTGTGTTTTAACAGCTTTTTTTGTATATATAGAACACTTGTTGTAAAATAGACTTTAGCAGCAGATATGCTGCGAAGAGAAACAACAACATCTGTTTTTCTACCAATGTTGAATGACGGCACGTTATTGCCGAAGTACACACTGTACGTGTGATTTGTTGAATAAATGTTGTACAATTGCCTTTTTTTTCATTCCTATATGGCGACAGGCAAGTCGCGCAAAAGCCTGGAGCGCATTTGCGCAGGGTCAAATCCATGCCATGACAAACTAGTGCGTAATCAACGTGAAACCGCTCTTTCCCCAGTTGTTGCACCTACTGATAACTGGCACGTTGACTGATGTCGATTCTCTATACTTTATGCGTCTCTCAAAAGAATCCACTTCACTCGAAAGCTATTAGCTAATATAATCCGAGATGCATACTAGTCAACTTATGCCGTTGGAAACGTGGATGGATGCGTGGCTTTGTATACATAAAAAAAGATCACATCCGGCTGACATTACCAGTGTATGAATCCTAGAAGCTAGGGGTGCAATAGGAAAAAAAGTACGATTTGGTGTGTTTGGTTAGTCCGAATTCAGCTTATAATGGCAACACTACTGAAAGAAACTGAGGAAGCTGCTAATGATTTACGACATAAAAAATGTTAATATTTTAGGCAACTGAGCAGGACCTAGTATCAACAACATTAGATTCAATGCCAGGAAAACTGAAACCCGCATTTTTGTTTTGGACAAGGCGCTTATGGTGGGGACTGGCTGGCACATGGCTGGCTTAAAGGCAGTGTCCGGGCAAGATGGGGGTTTTGAGATTTCTCTGCCATATGAGACTGGCCCCCCTGAGACACAACATCGCGCAACTGCGAGCATAAAACGTTCGACCTAAAGCAAGAAAAACAATTGCAAAGTGGGGAAACTTACGCCTCGGGGCGGGGTCCTCCGAGCTGTTTGAATTCCTGCCAGACGGCAGAGTACGTATGCCGCCACAGTTAAAAACCGTGCGCTCTTTGCAACTCTGCGTCTTAGCCTGGCGGGGATCCTCAAATTTCGAAATGTAAGGGCTTGGAAAATGCATGTTCTCGCCGTTTTCGTGCTTTCTGATATGGATTTTCGGATTCAGCGCTGCGGATAACCCCAGTAAGTTGATTTTTTAAAAGTCGAGTTTCTGCCCGAACACTGCGTTTAAAGGCAGTGTCCGGGCAAAAACTCGATTTTGAGATTTTGTGCTTATAAGGGCCTATTCGCCATGCTGAATCCGAAAATCCACATTAGAAAGCGCGAAAACGGCGAAAAAGGGCTCTAACACACGAGGGAAATCAGCAGGTGGGCGGGGCTTTCCCTTGCGATTTCACGCTCCCAGCTCCCGGAGCGATTTTCTCGATCCCGCTAGCCATCCTAACATCGCTACGGGCCAAGTGCGAATGAGTGACTTGAAACCGGAATCAAAAAGATCGTCCCCGAAGCTGGGAGCGTGAATTCACCGTAGGGAAGACCCCGCCCACTTGCTGATTTCCCTCCAGTATTAGAGCCCTTTTTCGTCATTTTCGCGCTCTCCAATGTGGATTTTCGGATTCAGCATAGCGAATAGGCCCCGGGCCTATTCACTATGCTGAACCCGAAAATCCACATTAGAAAGCTCGAAAACGGCGAGAAAGGGCTCTAACACACGAGAGAAATCAGAAGTGGGAGGGGTCTTCCCTGCTGCGGATTCACGCTCCAAGCTTCCGAAGCGATGTTTTCGGTAACAATTTCCTTTTACGTTTGTACAGTCGCTTCATTTCATATGATCATGTGTGTCATTGCACACACAGTTCAGCTTTGGCGTCCCCATCCTGGATTCGTGGGAGAAACAAGCCTTCAGGTAAGTGTTTCCAAGCTGTTCTTAGCATTTTCTTTCCTTTTTAGTCACTAGTCACCTCAAATTGATGTAATCTATAAAAATCGGTAAGTCTCTTGCGTTTTTGCGATTGCAAATTCAGGATGAGGACGCCAAAGTGGACTGTGTGTGCAATGGCACACATGATCATATGAAATGAAGCGACTGTACCTGACCTGTGGAGATCTCAGGGCTAGCGGAATTGAGAAAATTGCTCCAGAAGCTGGGACCGCAAAATTCACAGTGGGGAAGACCCCCTCCCCTTCTGAATTCCCTCCTGCTTTAGAGCCCTTTTTCGCCGTTTTCGCACTTTCCAATGTGGATTTTTGAAGTCAGCATGGCGAATAGTTCCGTGTAAGCACAACTTAGAATCGACTTTTTGCCACTGCCTTTAAAACAGGCCCTGTCGACGCTTACTCTTCCTTTTTGAGATTTTCCAAGTTAGGCCTTGATACCATCAGAAATTATTATACATAGTGTGAAATCGGAAGCACAAAGATAAGCAGGATTGAACAAGAAGTGGGACATGAGTAAAGTGAATACTGTTTTCTTGGGTGATTCCCAGTCGTATACACTTCTCCATACGATCTCAATCTCGACTGTCGATAAATTCTTGGCTTGGTTTTATCTACAAATTCCCAGCTTTTCTCTGTAGTTTAGCAATCCAGCACTGTGAACGCATTTGTATGAAATGACCTTATGTTATCCTGACAGGACCTAGCTGCTCCCCACAAAGCTTCGAGTGGCGTTTCTAGGATGTCAGACAGACTTTCTTGAACGCCGTCTGAATTTGTGCTGCTGTAATCCAGAGTCTACTGGACAAAGACATATCATTTGGAAGTGCTCAACAAGCTCTTCCTAATGATTACTTGCTATGCAGATATCTTTATATCTGAATAAAAGTGGTAGATCGTTTTTGAATCTCAATATCTGGCGCAGAATCTCGGGTTAGAAGCATAGATGCGATAGGTGGAGAATTTCTCTGACCCCCTTCACTTTAGGGCCGGCATCTGGATGACCCCTTTCTACTGAGGTGACTAGAATTAAGGAATAACGGCAGAATCAAACAGCTGTTACAAGGCACTTTTTTTTGGGAAGGAAACCCCAGCAGCTCTTAAAGGCAGTGTCCGGGCAAAAACTCGATTTTGAGATTCTGTACCTATACGGGCCTATTCGCCATGCTGAATCCGAAAATGCACATTGTAGAGCGCGAAAATGGCGAAAAACGGCTCTAACACAGGAGGGAAATGAGTAGGTGGGCGGAGTCCTCCCCACTGCAAATGCACGTTCCCGGCTTCCGGAGCGACCGTCTCGCTTCCGGTTTCAAGTCAATCATTCGCACTTGGCCGGTAGCGATGTTAGAACGGCTAGTGGAATCGAGAAAATCGCTCCGGGAGCTAGGAGCGTGAAATCGCACTGGGGAAAGCCCCGCCCACCTGCTGATTTCCCTCCTATATTAGAGCCCCTTTTCGCCGTTCTCTCGCTTTCCAATGTGGATTTTCGGATTCAGCATGGCGAATAGGCTCGTATAAGCACAAAATCTCAAAATCGAGTTTTTGACCGGACACTGCCTTTAATCTCAGACATCAAGACTGCAAGAGAGTATCGAAGCAACAGCGTTTCGTTGGAAAAACGCATGCTTGAGACTTTCTCCGCACTCAAAGTGGCCTTGATAACGAAACATAAACAAAAATTAAGAGGATGTCTGATTCTTTGAACAACCAGCATTGTATCAATGAATACACACTTCGCAAGAAAGAGTTGAGCAAGAGTAGAAAATATGGACTAGCTAGTGATGGTGCATGCTTACTGACAAGAATCGTACCATTTCATTAGAGAGAATAATAACCAATAAAAGAACGGTTAGATTATTCGTTTCTCAAGCTTTTAACCTTCCTAAAACTTTGGAAAGGATCATTTTGGTTTCAAAAATGACGCATAAAATGAGTACCTAAAATTGGGTGTTATTGCATCCAGATAAAACTGCACATATCTCGCTTCACAGAAAAGCTAGGAAAAAAGAGACGATCTACTTCGGTTCCGCTATCGAATTTATACGAAGCGTCGGAGCATATAGTAATTTTCTACTCAGTTTACTGGAAATTGGACTGGCGTGAGTCCGCTTCGCGAAGATTCGTTTTGCAGGATGGCGACAAGGCCTGTTTCAGGGGATGGCGTGCTTTCAACGTGGTATGGCCGTAAGCGAGTATATCGCTCAGCTATCTCATTGATATAAGTCCTGCAAACGCAATCCATTCTGAATGCATCAAAGCCCCATCGCCACTGAGCCCACATATTGAATGTCCGAAGAGGCAAAAGCTTACGACACCTGGGATTCCCAAGCCGTCTCCGATCCAAGTACTAACCAGGCCCAACGTTGCTTAACTTGCCAGATCGGACGGGATGGCGTGCTTTCAACGTGGTATGGCCGTAAGCGAGTATATTGCTCAGCTATCTCATTGATATAAGTCCTGCAAACGCAATCCATTCTGAATGCATCAAAGCCCCATCGCCACTGAGCCCATATATTGAATGTCCGAAGAGGCAAAAGTTTACCACACCTGGGATTCCCAAGCCGTCTCCGATCCAAGTACTAACCAGGCCCAACGTTGCTTAACTTGCCAGATCGGACGGGATTGCGTGCTTTCAACGTGGTATGGCCGTAAGCGAGCATATTGCTCAGCTATCTCATTGATATAAGTCCTGCAAACGCAATCCATTCTGAATGCATCAAAGCCCCATCGCCACTGAGCCCATATATTGAATGTCCGAAGAGGCAAAAGCTTACGACACCTGGGATTCCCAAGCCGTCTCCGATCCAAGTACAAACCAGGCCCAACGTTGCTTAACTTGCCAGATCGGACGGGATGGCGTGCTTTCAATGTGGTATGGCCGTAAGCGAGTATATTGCTCAGCTATCTCATTGATATAAGTCCTGCAAACGCAATCCATTCTGAATGCATCAAAGCCCCATCGCCACTGAGCCCATATATTGAATGTCCGAAGAGGCAAAAGTTTACCACACCTGGGATTCCCAAGCCGTCTCCGATCCAAGTACTAACCAGGCCCAACGTTGCTTAACTTGCCAGATCGGACGGGATGGCGTGCTTTCAACGTGGTATGGCCGTAAGCGACTATATTGCTCAGCTATCTCATTGATATAAGTCCTGCAAACGCAATCCATTCTGAATGCATCAAAGCCCCATCGCCACTGAGCCCATATATGAATGTCCGAAGAG